TTTACCGAACCACCATCCTTAGCTGCAAAACCGCAAATGAACAAGATAAGAAATAATGATTAGATAAGATAAGAAAGCCTGGACAAGAATAAGAAAGTAGCGCCATCTGTTGTTGAAACCAAAACTAAAACATAATTTCTTTAAAGGACGAAGGCAAATTTGGATTGGAATTAGGATCGTTAACCAGAACAGAAAGATTTTTATGAATGAAAAAAAAATCTAGAAAATCCAGTTCTCCAATGGAAGATGTTTTATGAATAATTTTGGCAGCAGAAAAATTAGAGGATAGATAGATTTCTCAACCAATTAATTCAGTTTTCACTTCGCAAAAACTCAAAACATCTAGATTAAAAATTGCCGCGTTCGTAGTATGCCTTCGTGATGTGGCTGCCTGCACGCTGGACGCGTATTCTTGAGGTCCGTGATTCGATTCCTGGCAAAGGCGTTGCTCATTTTTCCCTTCTCCTGCTTCCAAAAAATACCTAATATCTCTACAAATGTAACTGCCTTAATTGAAATTACAATAAAACTGTAATTTTAGCTGCAATTACGAATAATTATTCAGTAGCAGTGTAGTATTTGTTACTGTAGTTACACTGTATTTCTTTTATTAATCGATTATACTGTAAATGATTAATACCGAACACTGATTATTATATAATCCAAATATTTTTCTGGTTTACTCAATCAATACCATGCTTAGAATAAATTAAATAGAGGAAGTAAGTTAAGTGTTAATTGCACATTATAACTGTAAACTAACAATAAAATGTGTTAAAAATGTCTCATAAATTAGTACGATCCAACGGAAGAATTTTCTTCTGAATATGTTTCTTATTCGAACCAAAACCAGACGATCCGGCTGGCATTTCCACATTTTTAGTTTTTCAAAAGTATCCAGACATTTCCCATATCAGTTCAAGTTGCCTCTCAAATTCTTTCTGAGACGCGACGCTCTTTTACTGCTACTTTTACGACACTTTACGTAAAATATGTTCATTTTTATTGCAATAAAATAAACTAATAAATTCCGACTATCCCTTTCTATGGAACACGTTTCTTTTAAAGAAAATGCATTAGATTTTGCTTCATAAATAGTACTTATCTAGTATTAGATGTATAACCGAAAAACACTGAAAAACAACACATAATCTGGTAATGTTAAATGTGTGGAATCAAATATGCTTTCCTATATATATGAAATTCAAAATTTACATGTTAAAAGCAAGATGCATGTCATGAAACGAAATTTCGATAATGAGAGATGTAAAATCAAGCACAACGAAAAGTGTCATATACGTAATGTATGCTTAGTTTGGTTGCAAAACTGTATTTTTAAACAATGCGCATTCCAGCGCATTTTTCGTTTATTATAAGAATATTGAAAGCATTTTCATTATTGTTAGTGTACTGTCTCATTCATTATTTTTGTGCTGAGATAAAGCAAGCATTTAGCAATTGTTCTTACCCAAACTAAAGTAAAAAAATATATGAAGTCTACACCACATGACTTCCTTGTAGCAAATATTAAATTAGACGCATTTTTTTCTTGCCTTTTATTTAAACTTATTTCCTGGAATTTTTACAGGATAGATAGATTTCTCAACCAATTAATTCAGTTTTCACTTCGCAAAAACTCAAAACATCTAGATTAAAAATTGAAAGATATAGAAAAACGTAAAACACCACGTACGTACGGTTAAAGTAATTAAAAACCAATTTTTAGAATAAAATTACAGTTTCTACACTAAAACACGCTAATAACTTGAACGATAATTTCAGAATGAATTAGGCATAGTTTAAATCGCAATAATATGCGGATCGCCGCATATTATTATAGCAGAGAATTATATATCGCCGCGTAGGGCCAGGGTTCGAATCCGGGAGAAGGCATGGATGTTTGTAAGTGTATACTATCTGTGCGTCATGGGGACAATCTAAATATGCAAGGTGGGAGACCTAGGATCCATCCTCCTGGGGTGCTCGCCATCAAAATTGGGCAGCGGAACCGAGCTAAATCGCACTATCAAGTTCCAGGCTGTTGCCAACAGCAGGAGTAATCTAGGGTTCCTTGCCAACAGGAATTTCGTGAGCATGGGCTGACTATGTCAGACAAGTGAGCATAAGCAACAACAGCACAACAGTATTTGTTGAATTCGTGGGTATTTCCAAACTTTTCTTTGAGTTTGTTCGCGCTGAATGTGTATTTCTGCCTGTAAATGCGCCGGCACATTTCAGCGTCGGTTGAGAAAATATTGTTACGAAATGTACAGGCGCGGTAAGATGGCTTCCCCGCAAAGCAGATCTAGGGTTGCCATAAAATAACGAGGAAGGCAGGGTTGCCATATTTGGTGAGCAATCGTCCATTCGGCGATATTTGGCGACAAAATTGGGAATATGCCATGGATGGATGGAGAACCTACTGGAACGAATTCTTACCGGTTTAGTAATAGTAAATAACATTAATAACCTTGTTGTTCTTTTATTTCATCCTTCGATGAGTTATAAAACAGCACGAATTTTCTAAATGTTCAGTTTTGAAGACACTTTCTCACCTCTCAATCAAATCCGTTGTTCTATTCTTAAAGATTCCATTTCTGACTTTCTCTTTGGGGAACTGATAATATATCTTATCAGTATTGCTCAAACTAAAAGATATGAAATTCGAGTAACTAACTGTAAGAAGCCAAAAGTTAAAAGTTTTTTTTCACATTTTTGCAAGACAGTCCATTTGTCTGAACGGAGTGGTTTCTCCCGCTTTCTTAGCCTTTTAATACAGGTATTTTCGCACGAAAGCGAACTTTTCCTGAAATGATATTCCAATTTTTTCCATATCTCGAATTTCAATTCTAGACTCAATTTACGCCTAAATATTACATTTTGTAAAATTTGGAGCAAAATTTACGGATAAATTCAAAAATTAATCTTGGCGCAATTTTTCATTTTGCGCCAAGAAATATTTACTTGGCGAAATTTTTAATTTTTAGCACCATGTTTTCCTTTCCCCTTTTTTCACTGTACACGAATAGAAAAAAGTTACAGTTCGTACTTTCAAGTAATTTTAACGCGTGCTAAGCACATTGGCGTTATTATCGCCTATAATGACTGTGGCAAAGAGGAGGATGCTTAGGAGGTCCGTAGTTCGAGTCCCGGGGAGGGCATTGCTTATTTTTCATCTTTCCTGCTTCGAATCTCTACAAGCTGACCACTGGATGTAGCGAACTTAACCTCCGGCACCCTTCTGTAGTATGAATTGATATCACTGAATTTTGCCCCCCACCCCGGAAGATAAAACGAAAATCTTTCACTATTTTTAGTCAGAACGCTGTAATGGATCACAACACAAACCTCCGCCATCATACGGCATCTTATATTCTATATAAAAAATAACCTTATATTCTATATAAAAATTATATAAAAAATAGCCATTTTCATATTTAAAAATTTTGAAGCAAAAACAATGTTTTTTTTTTTTTTGTTTTTTTAGAGAATGGATTTTTGCCTCTGTAAATATGTAGTTATTTTATTCCCTAGTTACATTTAGATTACATTTTACATAATTAGGTGTATACTGCTTAAAATAGCTGAATTTAAAAATCGATAATTCCCTGCACGAAAGTATCCATTGAAACTTCTCACTTTCATATGATAATACGGTGTCTTCGAGTTTCGTTTCATAACCAAAAGATGTATGCCATGCTGAATGCTATCGAAATTGATTATTCTAATAACCCGAAGGCAAAACAGCTAAATTTAGACCGTTGAGAGTATGTGACAAAAAATTAATAACGTATCGTTTCTTCCAGGAAGAAATTCTTTGCATTTTTATTGAATACCTGTTCTAATACCTAGTAATCGGAAACCAATTATTGTTCATTTTTGACGTAATGAGCGAAATGAAGCAGAAAAATTTACATTTACCAATGAATCGAAGCAATTTTCCTAAAATAAATCTATAAATAAGAATGTCTGTTTTTTTTTTTTTTTTTTTTTTTTTTGTTGTTGTTTGTTTGTTTGCTCATACGTCGGTCACTATCGTCACCAAACTCTCTATAATTCTTTTCTGTATTCTGGGAAAGGTTGACGTACTTTTTTTTCCAAAAAAAAGTAGCTAAAATCATAACTATGATTAAAAACGCTTGAAACGCTCACTTTCGGCCTCATTTTTCGACTGGCAGCAGTCTCGCGCGTTGGAGATAAAAAGGCTTTATTTCGAAAAGTGTTGCTACTGTTCGCTTTCAAATCGTAGAGATTGTTAATCAAAAATTTGTAAGTTTTACAAAATCTATACATGTAAAATGAATGTCTGTTTGTGGTTTTGTTTGCGTTATTGATTTCTGATCAATCATGATCCATTTTTTGCCTCATTTAATCGACTAAAATTCAATATAGGTGAAAAATCATTAAAAACTGCGTCGCAGCGTTGTTGATATAATGAGAAGGAATTAATTTACTTTTGTATGGAAATTTTTTATGTGGTTCCCTATCGCATCAGACTGAACAATGTATGAGTAACAATCGTACTTTTTGCATCGTTATTAGAAACAAATTACAGCGATATCATTCTCTCTGTTGTTAGATCCATTAATCTCAATCTAAATTAACTGGCATCGTGTACTTTCGCTAATAAATAAATAAATAAAAGTAAAATTTTATTTTTGTCATAATCGATATAGGACTACGAAGCTTAATAAATGGTTTAAATTAAGTATTTTGGTGTCAGTACATAACATGTATAGATAACATGTAAAAATTTTATATGTTATAATTCAAAACCTTTTTCGAAAAATTTATTTAAAAATACAAATTAAAGAATAAAAAATGGACGAACGTTATTTGGAATAAACCTATATTTCAAAATCTGAAAGGAAGACTCAAATAACGTGTACTGACTATATTAGTGTTAAATCATAAAATTATTCTTTGTTTTAAAATTTGACATGTCAAAAAATTTTTAAATAGATCTTTTAAAATAAAATTATTGCTTATGTTTTCAGAAATGTGCCGACCCGAGCGTCTCCGACAAGAGTTTCTACAAGACATTTGCAAGAACAAACCCTTCAGACAAAGGAGTAAGTATTCGATCTCTTTTCGTCTTCTAAATCTCTATTTATTTATGTTTCTATGCTCTGCTTGATTCACAAAACTGAACATCCTCAGCCGAGTTAAAAGTTGTTATTCGGAACAGGCTCGGATCCAAGCGTAGGCCACAATCACAACTGCATAATGTCCCGATTTTCGATCCAGCTACGCTGTTATTCCTAAGGAAGCAACAAAGAGTTAAATAATATAATGTATCCTTAAATGTGGAAGCAATTTTCGAGCATCTTTACATGAAATTGTTTGAACTCAGTGCCAAGTCAATTCGCTTTTCAAAAGACGTGAAAAAGGTCTTGATTTACTGTAACAGTAATGGATTTAAAAATGCTATGCTTGATGTTCGAGATCTGATTGAAAATTTGAACCTGTATTCAAAAAGTTAACAACTCCATTTTTGCTAATAATGCACTAAAATCGAGAAGGGAAAATGACGCGAATAATTTATGTCCAAAAGGATACGATTACAGTAAATTAAAAGTATTCATGGATAAGTTACTAGTAACTATCGTGATATTTTCTACCAAAAATAGCTCTGTATTCCAATAAAAGTACATCGTAATATTAATATGTTGCTATTAGATATGGTTTTTTACATATAACTATCGCAGAAAGTTTTTTCATGACCACCCTGCATTTGTGTTTGGAAATCTATCATTAAAATTGGCGAATAAGATGTTTAGTTTTTTTTTTTTAATTTGTTCTTCGGACGTTTTCTGAAATGGCATGCCAGTCTTTTTCATAAATCGATTCTACGACTCAAAGTATGCCTAAATATTAAATTTTGTAAAATTTGGTCCGAAATTGACGGAGAAATTCAAAAATTGATCTTGGTGCATTTTTGTTTCAGTTTGCGCCCAGAATAATTCACTCGGCGAACTTCTTAATATATAGCAACCTATTTTCCTTTCCCTTCTAACATTGTGCTTTAGCGGGAAAAAAAGGCACAACGTTCCAGTCACATTTCAAAACGCGCCAATTTCGAGTATATCTTCGAAAATTCTGAATAAAAAACTCTAATATTTTGCAGGTATGCTTGGAAATGCATCTACTTTAAGAGGATGGTAAAAATTTTATATGTTGTATTTCAAAATCTTTTTCGAAAAATTTATTTAAAAATACAAATTAAAGAATAAAAAATGGACGAATGTTATTTGGAATAAACCTATATTTCAAAATCTGAAAGAAAGACTCTAATAAGTTTAGAAAAAAAAGAGAGATTAATAAATATATACGAAATTCAATTAACATTGATTAGCTAAAATTTTGAGAGCTATCTTTTTAAAAACTATTCGTGCGCGTATTACAAAACGTTGCAGTTTGGCATCATTTGAGTCGTATAATCGAAATATGGAAAAAAGTGGCATGTTATTTCAAGAAAAATTCTGATTTTGTGTTAAAATACCTATATTAGAAAACGCTGCCTATAAATCTAATACATATCCTAAATCGAACTTTCGAGACATGAAAAACTCAAGGTCAATTTCGTCGACCTCCTCAGTAGAACGGGAGGCATACAACTATCCCCCAACTATTCCTCTACAATGGTGTGCAAAACCTAAGCAGCCAAATAAATTTTAATCAGATAGCTATGAAATTTCAGAAAAGGGGTTCTTACGATCAATACAATGAACGGGCAAGTCAGTAGAAAGGTCATGCCTATGCAAATGTCCGGAACAAAACATCACAGGCGATGTGAGCCGTCGCGTTCAGCTGAAGCCTACAATTAAAGGAAGGAGGAAGAATCAAGTAAAGAAATTCGCTGCAAGTGCAAGTGAGTTCTTTCGTGAAATATGGCTAGAAGAAATCACCTGGATTACTTGATACGTGGAAGAGCGATCGGAAAGCTGGAAGAGAGGCGTAGTGTGACCAGTATAACTGAAGAGTTCGGAATCAATAAAAGTGTTATTTCGCGCGCTAGGAATGCCTTCCAAACCATAGGTGCAGCAGTTAGAAAGGTTGGTGTTGGCCACCCCAAGAGAACTGATATATCGACTTGCAGGCGAAAAAAGCTCGAAACCAGTCAGCAAGCGCCATAGCTCAGCAGCCGTGCACAGCAACGGGGCGACAAATGTTGCTGTTTACTGTGTCCAGACGCTTCAAAAAGTGACCTATTCGCCCACCGTCCTGAACGCTGTATCCCTTTGAAAGGTGGCCATCGAAGCCACCGTTTAGAATGCTGCAAGGAGCACTAAACCTGGATATCTTCCATCAATGGAGTCGTGTCCTTTTTATGGATGAAAATCGTTTTAGTGTCACAAGCGATTCTCAACGCCAGTTGATTTGGAGAAAGTTCGAACACGGTTTCATCCCAATAACATCACGAAAAGAAACCGTTACGGTGGTCCTGTACTGCTCGTCTGGGGAGGCATTTCGCTGAACGGGAGGACACAGCTCCATTCGACAGAGGTTCTGTACCAGAGATCGCTATTCTCAGGAGGTGATCCTTTTCCATGTGCGTCTGTTCCGGTGCCATTGGAGCAGACTTCGTTTTTATGGATGACAATGCACGGCCACACCGGACTCCTGCTCTTCAGAATCTACTGAAAAGTCAAGACATCACTCGAATATATGGGATGCTTTGGGGAGACGCCTTGCGGCACGAGTACATCGTCCGGAGAACACCCAACAACTGAAACAGATGCTGATTGAGGACTGGGCACTCTTACCTCAAGATCTGTTGGACAATCTGGTGCTGAGTATGGAGAGACGCTGTGAAATAACCACTGCAGTAAGGGGAAAGCGTATCCCATGCTAAGAAACATCTGCTTGTGTCCTTCCTCTTGTACAGACAATCATGTGTAACGAGCCATTTTTGTTTGATTCCATATTATATGCACTGTATTCATTTCAACGCAACTATGCTTTCGTCATCGTTTAATAACGTTAATCGTTTAATAACGTTTAATAACGTTTCGTCATCGTTAATCGTCATCGTTAAATACAAAATGCTCTCTCTTATTCCTGAATTTAATGTCTCTCAGTTGATTTCTCGTTCAGTTATTGCAAAACGAACACTTGTTGCTTACGTTTTGCACACCAGAGTATATTTTCTTTTCGATAATAACTAATTTAGACGGCTAGTGATTACAAAATCACGCATCTTATGTAATAAACAAGAAATTAAAATAGTTTTTTACGAAGTTATTTATTGTTTAACAAAGAAAACACAACCTGAAAATAGAATTTATCGCACAACAGCTAAATTAATCTTGATTAAACTTTAAAAGACTTAATCCTGATGAGTTATAGTACAGTGAGGCCGTAATACTGTTACGAATTTTGTATTTAGATAGCTACTGTTAGTAAAATCATATTTAAAATTGTTTTATTTCTCCGGGAAATGCAGCGCGTGATAAATTTTAAGAGAAAGCTCCGCCGAAAAAGTAAAAATATAAGAGCGCGTACATTTAAAATCGAATAAACAGATAGCTCTTTTATTTGTATTGAAATTGAATAAATGTAATTCACTACTGGGTTAGATGTCACCGCAATTCTACTCTTTTGCTTTCCAGAAATCTGGAGAAGCAAAGAAATTACTAGAACTCTCTCGCAACCTATTAAAAAGCTTTAAAAACCCGGAGAGAGACATCTCAGCTCAGTTGTTGTTTAGTTAGTTGCTGCTGTTGTTATTGTTGACCGGATTAACTTTTCTCTGCTCTGTAGATTGCATTCTATTTAACGTTTTAGTAGTTTGAAGGACAACCACTGATTATTACTACGTGATATTTTGAACGCTTATACGAAAATCTCTGAGGAAAGTTCCAGTATTCTGTTATACTTCTTTCGATAAGAATAAATTTTATTAACATTTTATCGGACTTATGCAGTCAATCTACAACGAAGCCGTACGCACGCGACAGTACTATAAGCGAATCCATAATCCGTACAATAAAACCTAGGCAAGTTGATCAGTTCACAATCATGTTTATCGTTGGAGTAATTAATTGGTACGAAAATACGTATTATTGCAGGTATTAAAATATTATTGTGAAAATAAGTAGTAAATGAGGCCTGTTTTCAGAAACCTCAGACAAAGCAATATTCTATAAAAAAATATAAAAATTATCGCAATAGGCTACGAAAAACATGCAATAAATATAGGCAAACGGGCTTCACATCCTCGTTAAATCTTAATAAATGTGTTAGTGCAGCAAGAGGAGTAAAAAAGAAAAGAACTGAAATGAACTGAAGAATGCTCAAAATTATAAAATAAGTCTAATTTATATTGACTAAATTTATAATTTTATTTAAGTCAGCATGTTAATCCTGCAGTCCGTATACGTGGGAATGCGTGTAGTATCCGAATCTGTAGCTGTTAGCTGAGATATCTGAAGCATTTTGTTTATCCTCTCTTCGTGTAAAATGAGAGTGTAGTTACATTAGGTTAATTCGAAGCAGGAGATACGAAAAATGAGCAGTGCCCTCGCCGGAACTCGAACCTCGTACGTCTCGAATATGCGCCAAGCTTGCTGACCACTACACCACGAAGGCATGCTAAGAAGGCGGGAGAAATAACGTATAAGGCTTGTATTAATACTACACTCAAACCTGTTTTTGTGCGGTAGATAGGGACCGACCGCATAAAAACGACGGATGGAAAGCAAAGTAAGTCACGAGTAGCTATAAAAAATAGTTTTCGTAACACAGCTCAAAAGTACTTTTTTATCCGGTGAATAGGGACCGCAGAAAAAATAGCTCAAAAACTTACGAAATAACTAGAAATTGCTTTTGTAAACGAAATCAAGCTACGAGGGTCGTCAGCTACTTGAATCCCGTCAAACCTTATACAATCTGATTTATTAGTCCAAAGGGGCAATTTGCCCTGAAGGACTATTATTTTATTAGTTTCGTTTCGGCATTTTGCGTTGGTTCACTATAAATGACCGATTCACTTTTCAAATTGTTGCCACCCAATATTAACGCCCTGTATTATATTTAAAGAAATTAAATAATGAGGAATCTGCATAAATGT